AGGGCTTAAGAGCATTGAGAAAGTTTGGCGGGGTGGAGGCCAAATATTTGCAGTAGTAGAGGAGAAAATTGAGGCGCACATAGACCAAGAGGAGCAACAGCAGGGAGATGTGCACGAGCTTCTCCAGGAATTTGAGGGAGTACTGGGCGAGCCTAAGGGACTACCCCCACACCGGGAGTTTGATCATCGCATACCACTGATCAATGAGCAACACGCTATACACGTCAGCCTTATAGGTACGCTCACTTTCAGAAAACCGAGATTGAACGGAAAGTGGCCGAGATGCTTGAATCAGGACTAATCCAGCATAGCAAGAGTCCGTTTTTTTCTCCAGTCTTGTTAGCCAAAAAGAAAGACGGCACGTGGAGGTTCTGTACTGACTACCGAGCTCTGAACGCTGCAACCATCAAGGACCAATTTCCTATCCCGAGTGTCGACGACATGCTCGATGAGTTAGCCGGGTCACGCTATTTCTCAAAGCTCGATCTGAGAGCTGGTTACCATCAAATTCGACTGCATCAGGCCGACATTCAAAAGACAGCATTCCGTACGCACCAGGGGCACTATGAGTATCTGGTTATGCCATTCGGATTGTGCAACGCCCCATCCACTTTCCAGTTCGCTATGAATTCTATCTTCAAGGAGTATTTACGTAAGTTCATTCTGGTATTCTTTGATGATATCCTGATCTATTCGAAGTCATGGGACGAGCATCTTGGGCATTAAAGAGTAGTGCTCGAAATTTTGGAGGTCAACTCATTCCATATCAAGCCATCCAAATGTTCATTCGGGCAGAAGATGGTTGAGTATCTGGGGCACTTCATATCACACGAGGGCATGAAGGTTGATCCACGAAAGATTGAGGCTATGGTCGATTGGCCTAAACCAACAAGTCTCACGCAGTTGAGAGGATTTCTAGGACTCATGGGCTACTACCGAAAGTTCGAAAAGGATTATGGGACCATCGCCAAACCCCTGACAGAGATGACTAAGAAAGGCGGGTTCACATGGACCGAAGCTAGCGAAAAGGCGTTTGGGAAACTAAAAGAAGCTATGACTACAACGCTAGTGCTCGCTATGCCAAGGTTCGATGTCTTGTTCGAGGTACACACCGATGCGAGTGATATTGGGATTGGAGCTGTGTTAGTACAAGAGGGGCAACCCTTAGCTTATCTCAGTAAGGCACTAGGCACTACATGATTGGGTCTATTGGTGTACGTGAAGGAGATGCTAGCAGTTGTCGAGGTTGTAAGGTGCTGGAGGCCTTATCTGTTGGGCCGACGTTTTCAGATTGTTACCGACCAACAACCGCTTAAGCATCTAT